ATAGAAGCACTTAAGTTTTCAAAGGAAGAAATCCAAGCTATTAACAATCATTTGAAAAATGTTCTAAATGACTAATAATTAGAGAAATGCAAGTTTAAGCAACTCTGAGATTCTACCTCACAACTATCAGACAATTTATTTTTAATTTTTATTTTAGACAAATGCTAAAACTTAAATATAAAATAAGAAAATAAGAAACATCATAAACTTAAATATAAAATAAGAAAAAAAATGCCATGTGCACGGCAGAACATAGAAGAGGATTCAAAATATAGAGCAATAACTGTTCATGTCAAGAAAGCCTATATATTAAATACTGTGCATTATGTTGAGAGCTGTCCATCTTTTCTTTGCTTCCTTGTAGGTTTTTTTTGGTTCTCAGCTGTACACTTTTTACTTTGTTCTTTTTTGCCCCGCCCTCCCCTCTACCCACTACCCCCAAGGCTACAACTGAGCATTGAATATATTTATATATAGGTACTGATACATACATATACTTATACATATATACATACACACATACATATATAAATATATACTAAGAGGTTCTAGTCCTAATCTTTGTGTTTACATTTGTGCATCTTTTTTCCTCTCTCCTAACTCCTCTACTTTACTTCTACCTGCTACCTTACCCTCCTATTACTTATACCCCCATTCCAGCAATCCCTCCCTTATCCTCCCATTCCCCTAAATCTAAACCCTCTTCTATATCCCTCTTTTAAACTATTCCCACACCCCCCCTCTAAAGATCCCTCCTTTATCCTCTCCCCACTTCCTATCCCCTGAGTTTTATTTTTTTCTAAATTTACAAGATTTTTATACTCTTCTAAATGTATATGTATTTTTCCCTCTTAAACCCATTGCCAATGAGAGTAGGTTTTCAGAACTAACAGTCCCCCCTGCCCCATCTAATTTCTCTGTATTGGTTCTTCCTCTTGCACCTCATTTGTATGAGATAACTACTCTTTTAGCTGTACTTGAATGGTTTTACTTTTTGAAGTCATATCACACTCAGGTCTACCCCAATCTTCCTTATAAGTTACCTAATTACTAATAACAATCTTAGACAAAGATTTTACATTTTTCATACATAAAAAATAAACATTCTATCCTTATTTAGTCCCTTGTAATTGGCGATTGGTATGTACCTTACATTTGTCTTGGCCCTTGTATGTTAAATCTTCTATTGAGTTCAGGGTTGTTGTTTTTTAAACAAAGACCTGAAAGCCTGACAATTCATCAAATGCCCATTTTTTTCATTTAGAATTATGCTTAGCTTTGCTGGGTATATTTTCAGCCAGAAACCCAGTTCTTTTGCTTTTCTATATTTAGTGTTCCAAGAACTGCGATCTTTTAATGTCGCCAATGCTAGGCTTATTTGATAATGATTGTGGGCATCGCCATATGTAAATTGTTTTTTTCTTGTTGCTCATAAGATTTTGTCGTTGATCTGGGGATTTCGGAATTTGACTCTAATATTCCTGTGAGTTTTCCTCGTAGGAGCTCTTTCAGGTGGTGATCAGTGTGTTTTTTGTTTTTCTACTTTCCCCCTTGTTCTAATGCTTCAGGACAATTTTCTTTAATTATTTCTTATATTATTGTATTGAGATTCTTTTTTTGATCAGAACTTTCAGGTAGTCCAATTATTCTTACGTTTTCTCTTTTTGATCTGTTCTCTAGATCCGTTGTTTTTCTTATGAGATATTTCACACTCTCTTCTATTTTTTCATCTTTATATTTTGTTTTTGTCATTCCTTCATCTCTTATAACTCCACTGGCTTCCCCTTGCCCAATTCTGATTTTCAAGGAGTCACTTTCTTCCTTAAGATTCTGGATCTCAGCTATGCCCAAAGGGCTATAAAAATGTGCATAGCCTTTCACCCAGCAATATAACTTCTAGGGCTGTATCCCAAAGAGATCATAAAAATGGGAAAAGGACCCACATGTACAAAAATATTTATAGCAGCTCTTTGTGGTGGCCAAGAATTGGAAATTGCCCATTAATAGGAGAATGGCTGAACAAGTTGTGGCATATGAACGTAATGGAATACTATTGTGCTATATGAAATGATGAACAGGCTGACTTCAGAAAAACATAGAAAGACTTCTATGGACTGATGCTGAGTGAAGTGAGTAGAACCAGAAGAACATTGTACACAGTAACAGCCACATTGTGCGATGACTAATATTGATAGACTTAACCCTTCTCAGCAGTGCAAGGATCTAAGACATCTCCAAAAATCTCATGACAGAAGATGCTATCCACATCCAAAGAAAGAACTATGGAGCTTGAATACAGATAGAAGCATACTATTTGCTATTTTTTTCTTCTGTTTTGTTTTGTTTCCTCTTTCTGGTGGTTCCTCCTATTGGTTGTAATTCTTACTTACAACATCACTAATGTGAAAATATGTTTAATAGGAATGTTTATGTATAACCTATATCAGATTTTGTGTCCTCTTGGGGAGGGAAGTGGTGAGGGAGGGGGAGGAAAATTTAAAACTCAAAAGCTTATGGAAATGATTGTTGATAAATCAAAATAAATAAATTAATAATAAAAAAAGATTCTGGTTTTCTAATTTGGTTTTCTTTTCTAATTGGTTGACTTTCTTTTCATAATCTTCTTGTTTTTCTTGCATTATTCTTATTTTTCTTTTTAGTTTTTCCTCAATCCCTCTCATTTGATTTTTAAAGTCTTTTTCATGGTCTTCAATGAATTCGTTTTGGGCAGGTGACCATTTGATATTATTCTTTGGGGTAGAACGGGGTTACTTTGCTTCATCATCCTCCTCTGAAGATGCACTCAGATCTTCTCTATTCCCATAGTAGCCCTCTATGGTTGGATTCTTTCTCCTTTGCCTGTGCATTTTTCTGGTAATAGTTTAGTTTTTATAATCACCTCTGGTCCTGGGGCATGGGGCATGGTGCCTCTGGGCCTCTGATCCTCTTCAGTTCTCCCTTTTGACCTCGAACTCAAACCAAGACCCCCAGCCTCCTGTAAGCGCCCACCCCACTGTTTCTGCACTCACCAGTGTGTGCTAGTCCCTTCTCGTGAGTCTCCGTAGCATACCTGGGTCTGGTGTTGGGTTCCTGTGGCTGGGGCAGAGGCAGCCTCCCACACCAGCTCACCTCAAGGCTTGTCTGCTGTTGTTTCAGCAGGCTGCCACTACTCTGACCCTGGCCTGGAGATGTTTGCTCTGCACAGGGAGGAAATCTCATCCTGGGATTTTTCTTCAGATCTTCTCCAATTGTCCCAGGAGGACCCCTCTTCTGCCCCTACTCTTATTTTTTTGGATCTAAGTTCGACCAGAGGCCTATTTTATCTCTTTTGTGGAGGGAAATCTTGAGAGCTTGAAATTTTCTGACCTACTCCATCATCTTCCCAGAATCCTCTCCCAGACAATTTTTAATTGCACCAGAAAGTTACCCAATTGTGTACAGTTTCTGACCCAGTAAAATCAGTACTAGGCCTATACCCTAAAGAAATCAAAGAAAGATGAAAAAGATCTATATGTAACTATATATATCTATATATAACATTTCCTTTTGTGGTAGCCAAAAACTGGAAAATAAGGGGGTTTCCTCCTGTTGGGAATGGCTAACCACACTGAGGTATAGAAACATAATTGTGCCATAAGAAATAACAAAATGGGGCAATTTCAGAGAAAACTGGGGGGGGGCGAGGTGGCACAGTGGATAGAGCTCTGGCTCTAGAGACAGGAGGACCTGAGTTCAAATCTGACCTCAGACACTTGACACTTACTAGTTGTGTGACCCTGGGCAAGTCACTTAATGTTGATTGCCTCACCAAAAAAGAAAAAAACAAAAAATAAAACAGAGAAAACTGGGACGATTTTTATGAACTGATCCAAAGTGAAGTGAGTAGAACTAAAAGAACAATATATACTACAATTACACCATTATGAAAAAAAATTTTTGAAAGACTTGAGAACTCTGATCAATGCAATGATAAACCATGAGTCCAGAAGAATGAAGGTGATGAAACAGTCTACTCTACTCCTGAAAGAAGGGATGAACTTAAAATGCAGAAAGAGACATATATCTTTAGACATGGTTAATGTGGGAATTTGTCTTGCTGGACTATTTGTTTCGTTTTTAATTTGTTCAATGGGATACAGGAGTAGTGGGAAGGCCAGATTAATTTTTTAAATATTTGTTTCTTGAAAAATAGAAATAATAAACTAAAAAAAGAGGGTGGAAAACAAAATACGGGAAAGAATTTAATGAAGTAATATGTAGTGATGAAAGTAGAGTCAAGAAAATAACATGTACAACAACTTCAAAAGTGTATATTTAAACAGCAAAGAACATTTTTTGATCATATCCATTTTCCAGAGTAGGGGAAAGAATAGGTGAAAAATGTTGCTTGCTCTGTCAGAACTGGCTACTAATAGGTCAAGTTTGTGTAACTTCTTTTTTATATGAGAGGGTTTTTTTTTTGGGGGGTGTATATAAGTAAATGACATGCTAAAAAAAAATGATGGATTTTTAAAAAGGGGGAAAGGAGAGAGACGTAATTTCTGTTTTCTTGCAAGTTTACATCTAACCAAGACAATACTATCAGGTAAACACAGACTGAGAAAAGGAAAGACAAACCTTAAGACTGGTGTGATTAGAGCAGCTAGGTGGCACAGTGGATAGAGCACCAGCCCTGGAGTCAGGAGGACCTGAGTTCAAATCCAGCCTCAGACACATGATACTCACTAGCTGTGTGACCCTGGGCAAGTCATTTAATCCCAATTGCCTCCCCTCCCCAAACCCTGCCCCCCCCAAAATAAAAAGACTGGTGTGATTAATTTACCCAAGAGTCCAGGTTCTTAACCACGTAAGACTCTCCAGCTAAGAAGAGAACACTTCTGAAGCCAATGGACACAGCCTGAGCACATCTATGATACAGCCTCACATAACAGAATGCCCATGTGCCATGCAAATCCCAAATCTTCATTATGTCCATTCCTCCCCTGCCCCTGCCTCCTCACCTTCTCTGGAGGCACTCCAGGGTATGTGCCAGGCTTTGCCAATCCTATCTTCTGACAGAAAGGCTCAGTGACAGAACTGGCCTCAGTATAGAGCTTCTGGTTGTAGAATCTATAGGCCAAGTGACTGGTGCAGCAGGCTGCCAGGCAAGAGAAAGGAATATTAGAAGAAGTCCAATTCCCATTCCCCACTCCTGTCTCAATTGCTAAACGGGGTGGGGGGAATATCTGAGCCTGGGCAAACCATTCCAGTTAGACAAATTTACTTCTCCCTAAGTAAAATCGGTAGTATGGCACATGGAGAGAAAACTGATCTCTAAGTCAGCAAGTTCTGGGCTCAAGTCCTCCTTATATATGCTGACTGTGACCCTGAGCAACTGACTTAACCTCTCCATGCCTGGGAAACTCAAAGACTAAACTACAGGTGCCTAAATACTGTACTGATGAAGGGTACTCCTCCCAGGGAGATATGTGCCCCAATAAAATCACAGGTCTCATTAAAAAGCAAACAAACAACTTCCTTCCAGGCCATTGCACAGTTTGGCTAGCATCAATTTTTTTTTCATGTGCCAACAACTCTTTCCCTCATCTCCCTTTAAAAGGATTTGGCTTCCTTCATAAAGTTTTCCTAGATTAGCACTATATTTAGCCTGTTCTTTATTCCCTACATGTGTAGGATTTTCAACCATATGAACTCTCAATTATATGTAATGTATTTCATTAAACACTTCACTGTTCTCTTTCTATTACCATGGATAACTGAAAGGATGGCTGTACATGGACAACTCCTCTCTATTCCTTTAGCCTATAAGGTTCAGGGACGAGAACAGTTACTTCTACAGTCTTTCGTAACTTCCAAAGTGACAAAGGCCCATAGGAAGTGTTGTTTGCTTGGCCAGCCTTCTAGGAAAGGCTCTATGTGGACATACCTGTCACAATATGCAACAAGTGGAAAGATACCTTCCATGAGCACCCTAACAGAGAACACCTAGGCACTAACCAGTGATTCCAAGGTACTCCGCCTGTTCTTGCTCGTTCAGACCCTCTAAAGCATCCAGCATCCAGACAACAGCACAGTGACAACTCTCTACTAGCTGGGTCAGGTCAGCCAAATCAGTTACCTAAAGAAACACAGGGGTGAGATTAGGGAATGCAACAAACCCCTGCCGCCACTTAAAAGAAATAACAGCAGCAACAACAGTACTCAACTTGTCCGTCTGGGTCCTTTAAGCAGGACCAAAGCAGTACTTTTAGGAAAAGAGCTATCACCCAGTTGCACCAACCCAAGAGTACCTTAGAACCATTGAAGAAATCATAAACCATTCTGGTATAGAGTTGGAGCCCATGGAAATGCATCTGAGCCAAGACCTGATGCTGCTTGGGGCAATCCACAGGAGTCTACAAGGGTAAGAAGTAGCAGAAAACTAGTTAATGGGGAAGCAAGTATGATGGGAGAGCCTGAGCTACAGAAGAGAAGGATCAGGAGAGGTAGCAAGGTGGTTCAGAAGGACTATTGCCAACTCTGAATATCTCATGCTGCCAGCTGGCTACATGTAGCCCAGCAACAAGCCTGTCAAGGTCACAGTAAGAGTTCCCAGATTTGACCAGCGACGCTCAGCTGGCAGGGAATTTGAGATGGATCCTCCCCAACCCACTCCCCCTTCCTACATCACTTACACTGTCCCGAAGCTGGCGAAGAAGATGACAGTATTTGCCCAAGAAGGCAGCAAAGCCGAGGATGGTGTCCACGTCATACTTTTTCAGGGTATTACTCTCTAGGATGGAGATGATGAACTGGCAAGTCTCAACAAGGGCCCTAAGTGAGGACGGTGGGCCCTTGACCCCAAAGCCAAGGGTAACTGCAGCCTTGCGCAGTAGCTCACCCACTGCCTCACAGGCTCCTGCCAGCAAGCTCTGCAGTTCTACCCCAGAGAGGCACAACTGGAGGCTAGGGGCCAGGTCTGTGTTTCCTAGATAACCACGGGCTTCCTGCACAGCCCTAGTGGCCTCCTCACAGCAGTTGCTCAGGCAGAGCCTCCGGCACTGTTCTAAGGTGAGCTCTAGGAGGCAGAGGGCCCTGCAGGGAGAGAGAGGATGTGAGGGGCAGGCTTCCTCACCAACCAGCACTTTGATCACACAGGTAGAGAGCTGTTCACTGAGGAAGCAGGCATCTGCCTTACTCAAATGTTGCCCACTAGCTTCAAAGAGCCGACAGGCAGCTTCAGCTTGACAAGCCGTTGGGGAAGCAAAAAGGGGGAATTTACAGGGGGTACTTTCATCTTCCAGGAGAACCAGGAAGCTCAGGGCCCACAGGCGAACAGAGAAGGCTGATCGCAGTTCCCCGATTGCTTCTGCCCTCTTCCAGAGCAAAGAGAAGGCACCTCGGGCAATAGCCTCGTAATCCTGGGATGCACCCACAGGCACATGCTGCACTAGGCAAGCATGCAATGATTGGGTCAGGCGACGAACACCTTTTGGGGCCACCTGGGCAGTAACATTCCGTAACAGGACAAAGAGGATCCGTTCCAAGTAGAGGGGTGAGCGATGCGGGGTTGCCATCAAGTAGCCATCGCAGGCCAACTCTGCCAGCGCTAAGAGGCTGCCCAGGTGCTCAGGGCAAGCCAGCCCAGCCACCACTTGCTGGTTGCAGGCCCTCAGAATGCCATCACATGCCAGTCGTTGTTCTGTTGCAAGCGAGCGGCCTGTGGGGCTATCCAGAGGTCTGGACAGGAACTCCTGAAAGGAAAGGAGTTTGTAAATCAGGTTACCAAGGGAAAGAAGGAGGTAGAGAAAGGGGGCTTATCAGGTCATTCAGTAATAATGTCTATCTTTTGTCTTATTAACTTAACAAAAAGGAGGTGAGAGGTTTTAACCTCCAAGACACCCCAGCTTGGTTATCTCATTTTCGACTCAGGTCCTCTCTGATAATACTACTCATTGCTGGTTGGTAAAAACCTCAGGAAGACATTCCAGTCTCTAAAAGGCAGAAAGTATCCTGGCCCACCAATGACCCTAACCTTCAGGTCAACCAGCAAAGCCTTGGCCTCCTCTTGGCTGCTCATCCATTTTCCAAAGTCTGTTCCTTTAAAGTTCTTCATGGCCCATATGAGCTGCCAAAATAGAAAAAGGATTCAGGATACTTAGTTATGTCCAGCTAGATGGAAAGATAAACTCAATATTAAGTAAGTATGCAAAAAAGACCCATGTCATCCCATCTATCAATCTCTCCTTGATAATGGCCTTTTCCCACCTAGACTGCATATCAGATTGTTTTACACCACCTAGCATGCCTCTTTTTATCAAGTAGGACCCTCACTCACTTTGAAGGTTACACAAATGAGACACTGGCTCTAGCAGATACAGCCCTGCTGGCAAGTCTTTCAGGGACTAGCCTAAATAAATTCAAAAAAAGTTAATCGCAACATAGGTGGCCACCAGGTGATAAATTCATTTGGACTTGGCTATACAAGAATTCAGTAACTTACTTAGGCAAGGGCTATGGATGAAGTCCTAGTGCGGATCACAGATCCATCTCTGAAGCAATACCATGTTTATTTAGGTTTATTTGTGTATTGGTTATACTGTGAATTGTGAGTGTATCCTTCTTCCAAACTAGAAGCTGACTGAGGGGGCCGTGTGACCCTATACGAGTCATTTAATGCTTCAGAATCTGTTTCTTCATATGGGCTTCACAACAGTACTTGGAAATTTTATCTTACAGAGGTGTAACGACAACAATAATATCAGCTAGCATTTGCACAGTGCAATAAAGTTTACAAAGTACAAATATTATCTCATTCTATCCTCACAACAACCCCGTGAGGTAGGTACTAATATCCCCATTTTACAGATGAGGACTGTAGGGGTCAAGTGACTTGTCTAAGATCACACAGTTTATAAGTATCTGAGGCAGAATTTTTATCTCCAGGTCCTGTACTGTGCTACCTAGCTGCCACCCATGAAGAAAACTCTTTTCTCTATTTTTACAGTGAACTAAGAGGCAAAGTTCTAGCTGAGAAGGTAATAGGAATGGAAGACTTGAAGAGGGATGAAAAGATTCGGAAGAACTGAGGTGGAGAGTAGGATAATCAATCAATTAGGGACATTTAAAAGGACTGACTAAAAAAAAAGGGATTGACTTACTGTAGTAAGAGCCCAGTTGAGTTTATATAACATAAATTTGTAGTAGATCCAGTCAACAATGTTTTATTTCTTTCATCCTGCTTTATTTGGCAGCACATGAATAGGAATGAAGACAAAGGACAGTGAGACCAATTCAGGGCTGAGGCTTAGGAGGGCAAGACTGGTGATAGGATAAGGGTACAAGGAATTCAAGAGAAGAGGAAAGTGTAGACTTGGAAGTGGTTCACTAAGCAGTCAAGATGGGGAAGGGAAGAAAGTACAGTGATGATGACCTGGTAAAGAACTAAAGGGTCATGGGATTGGAGATCACAGTGAGGAAGAACAGGCTCTGAGGTTACAAGGCTAAAAGACAGGTAGATTGATTGACAATGTAATCAGATAAGAGAATTTCAGAGTTTATAAACACAGAAGTGGAGCATTGGTGGGTGATGTTAGGATCAAGAATATGACCATCTCTGTAGCTCACTCTCTATAATCCAGCTTCCAATTTCATCATTCAACCAAAACTGCTCTCCAAATTACTAATTATAATCTCTTAATCATTAAACCTAATGGCCTTTTCTCAATCTTCATCCTTCTTGACCCTTCTGCAGATTTGACATGTCAATCACCATCTTCAATACTCTTCTTTTTAGGTTTTCATGACATTACTCTCTCCAGGTTCTCTTAGTCTCATTTGCTGGATCTTCATCCAAGTCATGCCTACTAACCATGGATGTGCCACAGGACTCTGTCCTGGGTCCTTTTCTATTTTTTCAATCAGAAGTTGGCAGCCTGCTTTTGTAGGTTTGTGACCTAAGAATGCTTTTTTTAAAAAAACACTTTAAATGGTTAAAAAAAATCAAAAGAATACTATTTCCTGACATGTAATAACAGTTATAATTCAACAGTGTTTCTCAAAAAAGTGGACTTCAAATGTCGCTCTTTTAAGTGGAGTATAGTTTATTTTGATAACGAATTAAAAGACAAGGCATTATATTTATTATGTAATAACACTATCGTTGTTGTTCAGTCATATACGACTCTTCGAGGACACTGTCCATGGGGTTTTCTTGGCAAAGACAGATTGGTTTGCCATTTCCTTCTCCAGATGATTAAGGAAAACTAAGATTAAATGACTTGCCCAGGTCACACAGCTAGTAAATGTCTAAGGCTGGATTTGGAATCACGTGTTCCTGACTCCAGGCACAGCATTCTGTCCCCTGGGCCATCTAGCTGCCAATAACACTATACCTGTGCTAAAAGAATATATGCTGACATTACCAGACAAAGCACACAATATTCTCAACTCACAGGAAAGCAATGGTCAGAAAAATGAGAAAACTTTAAATGAAAGCAGAATTTCTTGACAAAAATTAAAAATGAGAAGTTTCCAAGTGGCTCATTTGTTAGCCAAGAAAGTTAGTTAAATCTTAAATGTGTTTACAGCAGCTGAAGAAATGTGTCCAAAGAAAACAAACTAGTTTAAAGACTTTAAGCCTTTTGGCTCAATTAAAATCATATGTTCCTGGATTCATATCAGTATTTGGCATACCTATCCATGTGAAAAGATATTTTCAAAGATGAAATACATAAAATTCTCATTACAGATCAGCATTAATTGATGAATGTTTGCAATCAATTTTAATGAAAGGGAACACTTTGGACCCCAATTAAGCAAAATATTATCCCCTAGAAAAATAATTCCATTCTACTAAAAGACCTGTATTAAAAAATAAAAACCTGCACCCAATTATTATTATATTTTTAATCTCATCAATAAAAAAGTCATGGAAGTTTGTTTTTTCTTGTTACGTATGCACCTACATAGCATCCTCAATTTTGCCTCTTGGCCCACAAGGCCTAAAATACTTGGCCATCTAGTCATTTTACAAAAAAAGTATGCCCATTCCTAGCTCTATACTATTTCCTTTGGTGATCTCCTCACTTCCCATGGTTTCAGTTCTCATCTCTACTTATCCAGCTCCATTCTCTCTGCTGATTGCCGGTCTCTCATCTCCACTGCCTATTAGACATTTCCAAATGGAGGTCTCCTAAACATCTTAAACTCAACATGTCCGAACTAAGCTCATTATCTTTTCTTCAAAACCCTTTCTCCTTCCTAACTTCCCTATTTATGTGGAGGGTCAGTACCACCATCCTCCCAGAACCTGGGCGTCACCCTTGACTCCTCACTGCCTGCCTCCCCCTCCTCCCCCCACCCCGCCCACTCCCCAACCAGTCTGCTGCCAAGGTCTGTAGATTTTACCTTCCTCCCATCTATAAGTGCCTGGCACATAGTGGAGACTTAATATCAGTGTCTTATTGGCTGAACTGTTCATTAGAACGAGATGTCACTCTAGAGGGCAGTTCTGCCCTTAAGGACTACTTGGGGACCCTCCTTGTCCGCACAAGTGGATTGCACTCCGGCTCATCCCTTGCTTGCCCAGATGACACCCACCCGGTTCCCCGTCCCCGTCTCCCGGCTCCCACGGCCGCCCTTCCCCCACCCCGCAGACACTCCATCCACGCCCGGGCTCAGCGGCCAGGCCGAGGGAGAGTCTCTTTCACTTTAGGCCAAAACTTCGTTCTCCCGCTTCATCCCGACCCCGCCGCCTCATGCAAAACAAGCTTCCAGAAAGCCACCCCCTCCCCGCTGCCCCTTCTACTTTCCCCAACGGTAAGACGAAGATCTGGGAGGTAAAAGGCGCCCCCCACTTGCCTTCAGTCGGGGTCAGGGAGCCACGAGAAAAAAGGAGTTCAGAAAGACGACCAGACGGTACCATACTCTTCGCCCGCCAGCCCTTCATTCAAATATCAGAGTCCGGCCAATCAGCGGGTGCATCGTCATTTAGGCGCGACTCGCGTGGGACGCCGGGAGTCGTAGTTCACCATCCTAGGCCTGTCCAGAGCACGTGATCACAATCCTTGCCCTCCCCTACCCAGGCGGGTTGGGCAGCTTCAGGGTAGGGCTTACTTTTGGCAGTTTGGGATGCGGAGCCCTAAAATTGAATTCTCTCTCTCCCTTTGCTTTTCCTCTTATAGGAAAGTTGACCTTTCCCCTCCTCCACACCTGGTCCCTTCTCGGAACAGGATACAAAGAAAGGTAAAAGATAGTCCCTGATCTCAAGGAGCTTAGCCCCTAAATTGGGGGGGGGGTGTGGAGGGGAGAGAGGACTGGTGGAATGAACACGCACATAATACCTACTATGTGCCAGGCACTGAGTCAAGCTGCGGGGATATGGAGAAAAGTAAAAGACAATTTGGGCTCCAAGGAGCTCTCAGTTGAATGGGGGAGACATGAAAACAGCTATGAAATAGAGACAGGATAAATAGGAGATAATTAATAGGTGGAAGGAACTAGCATTCTTACAAAAGGTTGGGATTTTAGCTGAGACTAAGCTAGAGGGCAGAGAAGAGAAAGGAAAGAGTTTTCAGGGTGTGCCTGGGAGTGAAGGAAGGGGACAGCAAGTGAAAAAGCCTGGCCTCAGAGTTTAATGTGAAGAAGAGCAATGAAGACAATGTCAGTGGATCATAGAATATGTAATGGGCTTTAAGAAGAAGAAGCTTGAAGTGGATAGAGCACTGACCCAGGAGTCAGGAGGACCTGAGTTCAAATCCAGACTCAGATACTTGACACTTACTAGCTGTGTAACCCTGGGCAGGTCACTTAACCCCATTGCCTAGCAAAAAACGAAAACAAAAAAGCAAAGCAAAAAATAAATGAATGAATGAATGAATAAGAAGCCTGGAAAGGCAGGAAGGGGCAAGGTTATAGAAGGCTTTAAAAATCAAACAGAAGGGGCAGCTAGGTGGCCAAGTGGATAGAGCTCTGGCCTTGGAGTCAGGAGGACCTGAGTTCAAATCCAGCCTCAGACACTTAACACGTACTAGCTATGTGACCCTAAGCAAGTCACTTAACCCCGACTGCCTCACCCAAAAAAAAAAATTAAATAAAAATAAAAATCAAACAGAGGTATTTGATCCTGGAGATAATAAGGAGTGGATGGACTGCTAGATGCACTGGCCTGAAGTCAGGAAAACCTGAATTCAAACAGAGTCTCAAACACTTACTAGCTGTGTGACCCTGGGCATGTCACTTACCCTATGTTTGCCTCATTTCTTCAACTGTTTGTTCAGTTGTGTCTGACCCTTTGTGGCCCTGTTTGGCACTTTCTTGGCAGAGATACTAGTATGGTTTGCCATTTCCTTCTCCAGCTCATTTTACAGAAGAAGAAACCAAGACAAACAGGGTTAAGTGACTTGCTCAGGGTCACATAGCTAAAAAGTGTCTGAGGCCAGATTTGAACTTAGGAAGATGAGTCTTCCCAACTCTAGGCCTAGTGCTCTGTCCATTTTACCATCAAGCTGCCCCAGTATAAATACCAGCAAATATGTGGAGCTTGACACAGATCTAACCAACTAGGAGTCAGAATGCTATGACAGTTGCTGAAGTGTTATGAGAAAACTGTTTCTCAGGGTATGGCTTCCCTGCCAGGATCCACTCTGCCTAAGGTAGGGACTTTGGAAGCAAACAATTTCTAACTGCGGTAAGGTTCTGCCCAGAGCCTTTGTGTGCCTCAGACTCTTCCTGAGCTAGAGTCTCAGTCTACTTTCTGAGTTGGAAGAAGAACTGAGCTCAGTGCCAGAAGTTCTACTTTGTGAAGCAGGGAGTGGAAGCAGGGAGTTCTCTGTGCCTGGAATAATAATAGCTATATATTTATGTAGTTCTTCAAAGTTTGCAAAAGAATTTATGTTGGTCTCATTTAATCCTCATGACAACCTTTTGAGAAGCAGTTTATTGGAAGTTCTGGCCAACATGGACATCTGAACTGAAGGCAAAGCACCTAGCTCCCACGTATTTACTCCAGCAGAACCCTGAAATTCACACCAGATTGAATAGTGATGGAGAAATCCAATGAGAAAGTGTAAGTGACATCATCTACCCCAAAACTGCACAAAAAGTAAGTCATTGGCCTACAGAGAATAGGAAAGGACTTGCCCAACTTGCAAAGCCAACAATAGCACTACCAGGAAAATCAGAAAAGGAAATGTATAGCTTGCAAGGGGTGGAGCAGCATCATGGGAGGGTTCCCCTGAGAAAGCCCCCCCACAATAGTTGGAAAGCCCCGGTGAGGGGAATTTGGAAGCCCCAGGGAGCAGCAGCTGGCAGGCCATGGAGATGCCAATCATGCTGGTGCTACAGTGCTCAGACTAGGACAGCCCAGGTCTAGGAACTCTGAGGTCTCTAACACTCCATCCTGAGATGCTAGAAAAGGCCCTAACAATACACATCTCTAAACCTCAAAGAACCAGTGTGGGGGAGCACACCCCAGGAAGTAGAGGTTCACAGGACAATTCAGGGGAGCCACAGTGTGACCAAGCAAGGCCCAACGTCACACTCAAATTTGCCTCTTTACAGAAAAGCCCCAGAATGCCACACCAGTCAAACTACCAGAAGATTACCTTATTATGCTAGGGGAAAAAAATAAAATTTATGTGAAGGAACTCACTATTTGCCAAAAACTGTTGAGAAAACTGGAAAGCAGGCTGGCTAAGAATAGAGGAACATCTCACATTGATGTGTGATAAGATAAGTTCGGAATGAGTACATGATTCAGACATAAAAGACTATATTGTAAACAAATTAGAAGCAAAGGAAAGCATATAATCAGATCTATGAAGAAGGGAAAGAGTTCATGACCAAACAAGGGACAAAGAAGGTCACAGAAGGTAAAATGGACAATTTGGATTACATAAAATTAAAAAGTTTTAGCACAAACAAAACCAGTGAAACTGAAATTAGAAGAGAAGCAAGTAAATGGGGGGGAAAAAGCTTTGCAGCAAGTTTCTCTGATAATGATCTCAGTTCTAAGATATGTAGGGAACTGATTCAAATTTATAAGACTAAGAGAGCAGTTCCCCAATTGATAAAATGGTTAAAGGATATGAACAGGCAGTTAGTTATTAGCTATCAATAGCCATGAAAAAATGTTCCATATCACAAATAATCAGAGAAATGCAGATTAAAACAATTCTGAGATTCCACCTCATACCCATCAGTTTGGAAAGTTGACAAAAAAGGAAAATGACAAATGTGAGAAATGAAAGAGTTAAGTTTCCACATAAGTAGATAAGAAATCTGCACAGACAGGCTAACTTGGGGGGGGGGAATGATAACACAATTCTAGGCACATAATGCATATTAGGGGTGGGACATATAAGGAAGATTGTAACCCAGAAGGATTAGGACCGATCTTGATCCAGAAGGGAGGAGTTAGGCAATTACTAACTATAAAGATTGCTCTGGCTTCTTTTACCTTGTGCATTTCTCTCCTCCCAAGGAAGGGTGCCCACTTCTCATGAAAATCGAAATGGTGCACTTCAGCCTCTTTAATAAAAAGTCTTTGAGACACCAGTCTTCGGAACTGAGTCTGGGGGCATCTTTATAACACAGATATTGGAGGGACTGTGGAAAAAGAGGTACAGTGCTGTAGTAGTGCACTGTGAACTGGTCTAGTCATTCACACACTCATATATATACACAGATATAAATATATGTAGGGGTGTGTATATATATGTATATATGTGTGTGTGTGTGTGTGTATATCTCTATATATACATGTCTATATCTATATAAATTTTGGAAGTAGGAACATGGCCAGCCTGGGAATTTGTTTTGCTTTACTGTGCATACTGTTACAGGGGGTTTTGTTTGCCTTTTCAATGGGAGGGAGAGGTAGGAAAGAAAAATATGGCTTTTTGTTAATTGAAAAGAAAAATTTTAATTAAAAAAAAGCCGCGGGGAATGATCAAGGCACTACAAACATAGTGTATCAAAACCCCACACTACCATTGGGGGAATTAGTCAAATTTCTGAAAAAGTCAGTGAAATATGATGGGGTATGGGCCCAAAGTGAGACCTTTGTCCCAGTTTGGGCCCCATTTGTCTATGGGCCCTAGAAAACCTTTGGACTATCCTTGAATTCTCCCACTTGATCTAGGAGATCTCTGGAATTCCCCTGAGGCCATGATTCCCTCTGTTTGGCTACACCCAATCCCCCAATTGTTATCCTCCACCTAGCCTGGCCCTCCATTGTCTTGCCTCCCTATGGCCCCAGGGCACTTCCCACCCTTGGTCCTATATACACTCCATTTCCCTGGAATTCTATTACCTCATAGACTACGTGGCCACTCCTAGATCCCTCCCACAGTCTTTCTGTATATGAGGTCCATCTTGTCTCCATTAAGATGCTCAGATTTTCACAATCTAGCCAATAGCCCTGAGATGCTCAGATTCCTTAAGAGTCTGGTTAATATGGCAAATCTTTAATAAATCCTGTTTTGGGCTGAAAGAAGGCTTGGGTTGAATTCTTTCAGGCAGGAGCTGAGTGTCCTGGTTTTGGGATTCCAGGACCCCTAACCTCTAGACCCCTTCAAAATACAATGATAGACCTTCAGTTAAGTAGACCTCGAGAAGAAGGGCCTGCTTTCCTGTTATAGAGTCATTGTGAGAGCTGGATAAAAATTCAGAATATGATGGTTCTGTTGGCTATTTGTAACTACCCAAGAGTTAGGGAACTCAAGAAAGTACCTCCAGACACTGGGGCACCTCAATGCAGACAATAGGGAAGGGCTGAAGGGGGAGGCAGCTCCTGACTATATTCCAGTTAGAGAGGCTCCTTGTTGTCTTTCCTTCATTCTTGAAGAAGACTATGACATCATGGAGGTAATGCCATGACATGCAAGTGAATCGTATTTGAGCAAGGGAGAGCTGTGCAAAGCCACTAGC